CAAAATGGCGCCCGACCTGGCATGTCGCCTTTCGGTGTTGGGATGCGTGCCCCGAAGTCAGCCACCTGAATTTGGGGTTTGGGGCTCGAGGTTGATGAGGGTTTAGGGTCGCAGGATTCGGGCTTAGGGTTTAGGGTTGAGGGTTTAGGGCTTAGGGCTTAGGGCTTAGGGTTTAGGGTTTAGGGTTTAGGGTTTAGGGTTTGGGGTTTAGGGTTTAGGGTTTGTTCAATGTTCCGCGCACACCACCACGCGGGACGTGTGTTGTGGTGTGCGCCCAGGTTCAACGCTCTCTCCCAACCCACCCACCCACATCTCAACCTTGGGCGGGTTTAGGGTTTTCATATAGTTGTTGGGCTATCGCTTTCCGTATTATAATATAGCCTTCACACCTAATATCCTCGGTTCAAAAGCCGTCGACGGCCCCAGTCACACGTAAAATCCTCGGTTCAAAAGTCGTTGACGATTTATAATATGCTCGGTTCGGGTCGTGAAGATGACTTTAGACGAAGGGCCCCAGTCAAATCCTGGTTCAAAGGGCCGGCGACGGTATAAAATCCTCGGTTCAGGTGGTGGGGGCGCCCGAAAAAGCTCAGAAATGGTCCGGAAGAAGCCCGAAATGGTCCGAGAGAAGCCCAGAAATGGTTTAGACGAAAGGCCCCAGTCACACAAAATCCTCGCCGGCGACGGTTCATACCATCCTCGGTTCAGGTGGTGGACGGTCACACGTATCCTCGGTTCAAAGACGGCTCCTAAAATCTTCGGTTCAATGAGGGGGGCACAAAAAAGCTCGGAAATGGTCCGGGAGAGGCACAAAAAGGCTCAGAAACGGTCCGGGAGGAGCCCAAAAAGGCTCAGAAACTGTCCGGGAGAAGCTTAAAAATGCTCAGAAACTGTCCGGGAGGAGGAGAAAAAGGCTCAGAAACTGTCCGAGAGGAGCCCAAAAAGGCTCAGAAACTGTCCGGGAGGAGCTTAAAAAGGCTCAAAAACTGTCCGGGAGGAGCCGAAAAAGCTTGGAAACTGTTTGGGAGGAGCCCAAAAAAGCTCAGAAACGGTCCGGGAGGAGCCCAAAAAAGCTCAGAAACGGTCCGGGAGGAGCACAAAAAGGCTCAGAATCCGGGAAGAGCCTAAAAAGGCTCAGAAACTGTCCGGGGGGAGCACAAAAGGCTCAAAAACTGTCCGGGAGGAGCCTAAAAAGGCTCAGAAACTGTCAGATACGGTCCGGGAGGAGCACAAAAGACTCAGAAACTGTCCGGGAGGCTGTCCGAGAGGAGCCTTTTTGGCTCAGAAACTGTCCGGGAGGAACTTAAAAAGGCTCGGAAACTGTCCGGGAGGAGCCGAAAAAGGCTCGGAAACTGTCTGGGAGGAGCCCAAAAAAGCTCAGAAACGGTCCGGGAGGAGCACAAAAAGGCTCAGAATCTGGGAAGAGCCTAAAAAAGCTCAGAAACGGTGTGGGAGGAGCCCAAAAAGGCTCAAAAAGGCTCAGAAACTGTCCGGGAGGAGCCTAAAAAGGCTCAGAAACTGTCAGAAACGGTCCGAGGAGCACAAAAGGCTCAGAAACTGTCCGGGAAAAGCTTAAAAAGGCTCAGAAACTGTCCGGGAGGAATCCAAAAAAGGCTCAGAAACTGTCCGGGTGGAGCCGAAAAAGGCTCGGAAACTGTCCGGGAGGAGCCCAAAAAGGCTCAGAAACTGAGCCGAACAGGCTCAGAAATGGTCCCAAAAAGCCTAGGTCTGGTCCGAGAGGGTCTGGGAGAGCTTCCAGAAGGCCCTGAACCCTAAATCCTAAATCCTAAACCCTAAACCCTAAATCCTAAATCCTAAATCCTAAATCCTAAATCCTAAATCCTAAATCCTAAAGGATGGAGAGACTTAACTTAAAAACCTAGGGTTTGGGGTTATTCTCTTTAGAGCCAGACTGTCGCTGGCACGCGGGTTCAACCCTTCTAGCGTGGGCCGCGCTCACCGCGCGCACTGGCCCCGAGCCCTCGCCAGGCTTCGCCTGACGGCTCGGGCTCGTCCGCGGGCCTGTCGCCACGCGGTAACGCTCGCTGCTGCTTATCGCAGCACCCGCAGCTCGCTTGAGTTTAGGGTTTAGGGCTTACGGCTTACGGCTTACGGCTTACGGCTTACGGCTTACGGCTTACGGCTTACGGCTTACGGCTTAGGGTAAAAGGTTTAGGGCTCGGGAGGCTTGGAGGTCTGGAGGTTTCGGGGCCTTGCTGAACCCTAAACCCTAAACCCTAAACCCTAAACCCTAAACCCTAAACCCTAAGCAGGGCTTTCGGTTTAGAGCTCAGGGTGTGGGCTTGGGGGCTTCGAGGGTCGCTTCTCCTCATGTCTTTGGGCTCTTTGCATCAAATAGAACCCTAAACCCTAAACCCTAAACCCTAAACCCTAAACCCTAAAACCTAACTTTAGGTTTTGAGGTTTAGGTTTGGTGGTGGGGCTCCTGGCGCCTCCACGTGGAACCTGAGCTTAGACTGAAGCCTTGCCCTGGATGTTGGGTTTCGGGTTTAGGGTTTAAGGTTTCGGGTTTAGGGTTTAGGGTTTAGGGTTTCGGGTTTAGGGTTTAGGGTTTAGGGTTTCGGGTTTAGGGTTTAGGGTTTCGGGTTTAGGGTTTCGGGTTTAGGGTTTAGGGTTTGGGGTTTGGGGTTTGGGGTTTAGGGTTTCGGGTTCAGAGTTTCGGGTTTAGGGTTTAGGGTTTGGGGTTTGGGGTTTGGGGTTTAGGGTTTCGGGTTTAGGGTTTAGGGTTTCGGGTTTAGGGTTTCGGGTTTAGGGTTTAGGGTTTAGGGCTTGGGGCTTGGGGTTTGGGGGTTTGGGGTTTGGGGTTTCGGGTTTGGGGGGCCCCACCCGACTGCCTGAACCCTGAAGCTTGCTCCTACGGACTTTTCCAAGGCCGCGGGCCAAGGACTCCGATAAACCCCACACCCTAAACCCTAAACCCTAAACCCCATTTTATCCAATTTCAGGGGATGGCCTGCTCCGCTTGGCCGTAGCCGTAGTGGGCTCCTTGGTGTTTAGGGTTTAGGGTTTAGGTTTAAGGTTTAGGGTTTAGGGTTTAGGGTTTAGGGTTTAGGGTTTAGGGTTTAGGGTTTAGGGTTTAGGGTTTAGGGTTTAGGGTTTAGGGTTTAGGGTTTAGGGTTTAGGGTTTAGGGTTTAGGGTTTAGGGTTAGTGTTTAGGGTTTAGGGTTTAGGGTTTAGGGTTTAGGGTTTAGGGTTTAGGGTTTAGGGTTTAGGGTTTAGGGTTTAGGGTTTAGGGTTTAGGGTTTAGGGTTTAGGGTTTAGGGTTTAGGGTTTAGGGCGAGAAGAATCGGGGCGAGCGCCCTGTCAGGGCGTTTCTTGAGATTAGAGCGAGAGCCGATGATGAATTTACTTGCTTCTGTTCAGAGCTCTAGGAATATGTCTGTATGGTTATTGATGTTCATTCACGTTTTGTTTATCTTTGGGCTTAGGGTTGAGAGCTTTTGTTTAGAGCTTTGGGTTTTGCGTTGAGCGCAAAGCCTGCAACCCAACCTGCCTTGAAGCCTAAAGCCTCAGCCACTCAGGCTTCAGGGTTCAGGGTTCAGGGCTTAGGGTTGTAGAGTTTAGGGTTTGGGGTTTAGGGTTTAGGGTTTAGGGTTTGGGGTTTAGGGTTTAGGGTTTAGGGTTTAGGGTTTAGGGTTTAGGGTTTAGGGTTTAGGGGTTAGGGGTTAGGGGTTAGGGTTTAGGGCTGTAGAGTTCAGGGTTCAGAGAGCTTAGGCGAAAGCAAACAAGAAGAAGTCAGGCCACCAGCACCAGCAGGCTCGGGAGTTATCACCTGGCTCAGCGCAGCGTGTGTTGGCCCAAGGCTCGGGTTCCAGGGCTTTAAGGGATTAGGGTTTGGGGTTTAGGGTTTAGGGTTTAGGGTTTAGGGGATTAGGGTTTGGGGTTTAGGGTTTAGGGTTTAGGGTTTAAGGGATTAGGGTTGAGGGCTTTTGGGTTTAGATGTTCTCAAATCATGCGGATTTGTCGATTGAAAGATTGATTCGTGGTTTGAGGGAGCTTGAAAAGCATCAACAAGAAGGAATTGAAAGCATGTCAGATCATGCTGGTACGAGGTCGATGTTGCTTGTGCGAACACGCCCCAACAAACCGCTGCACGGCTAAATCACCCCGTCCGACATGGTCGAGAGGGCTTGGGTTACTTGGATCTCCCCTAAACCCTATTCCCTAAACCCCGAAGCCTGAACCCTAAACCCTAAACCCTAAACCCCAAACCCTAAACCCTAAACCTCCCCTCCCACCCCCACCCCCCCCCCCCCCAAAAAAAAAAAAAAAAAAAATATATATATATATATATATATATATATATATATATTTATATATATATATAAAATCCCCATAAGCATACACCTGCATATTCTGCGTTTTGGAGAGGCCATTCCTAAGGGCCAAACACCTAAAACCCCAAACACCGAAGCGTCCCCTACACCCCAAAACCTAAGGTAACATAGTCTAGGGTTTAGGCTTTAGGGTTTAAGGTAGGGTATAGGGTTTAGGGGTTTGGAGTTTCGGAATAACTACTAATCATATTCCCGTAGGGTTCCTTTATAGTTATACTACAATGACCCCCAAAACCCTATTCCAATTAAGGCCCCTGCATTACTCATGGTCGAAGAGCTGTGAGTTCAGAGTTTAGGGGCTCAGAGGGTTCGGCGTTCTTGTGTTTAGGGCGAGTTTGGGTTTAGCCTTGGGGTTTAGGGCTTAGGGCTTAGAGTTTAGGGCCCAGATAGGCACACGGCTATGTTGAAGGCTTACTGGGTCACATTTTGGGTACTGGGGCCGGGGGCATCTCGGCCCTTCAAGCCCCTTAGGGCCCAAGAGCCCAACCCTGAACCCTAAAAGCCGCACTCCTCCAATTTGTACTGCAATTTCCAAAAAAAATCTTTACCCAAAACCCCCCAAAACCCCTCAATCCCCCAAATCCCTAAACCCTAAACCCTAAACCTAAACCCTGAATTCGAAGATTCCCTAAGCCCTCAACCTCACCTGGCCTTCGCCATCTGAACCTCGCGGCCCGGGAGGAAAGGGTCCGGCACTCGGGTCACTTGTGGCACGGACCTCCGGGGGCCAGCTTTCGAAGTTCTTCCGCCCCAAATCCCTAAGCCCTAAACCCTAAACCTTGGGTTTAAATCCCGAAGCCCTAGCCCTAAACCCTAAACCCTAAACCCTAAACCCTAAACCTTCGACTTATGCAAAATCCAGGAAACACCCTAAGCCCTAAACTAAGGGAGGCTCGGAGCTTTCGGCTTGGGGTTTAAGGTGTCGGGTTCAGGGGGCTTGGAGCTTAAGATTTAAGACTAGGGGTGCTTCGGGTTTCGCGGTTTAGGGTTTAAGGTTTCGGGGTTTAGAGTTTAAGGTTTCGGGTTTTGGGTTTAAGGAGGGTTTAGGGTGTAGGGTTTAGGGTTTCGGGTTTAGGGTTTAGGGTTTGGGGTTTAGGGTTTGGGGTTTAGGGTTTAGGGTTTAGGGATTAGGGTTTAGGGACCGCCCCGGCCGCGTCAGCAGCGCCGAGGGTCGCTCGTTGGAGGGCACCACGCTGCCTTCGACCTGCCGGGTGGTTTAGGGTTTAGGGTTTAGGGTTTAGGGTTTAGGGTTTAGGGTTTAGGGTTTCGGGTTTAGGGTTTAGGGTTTTGGGTCTTGGGTCTTAGGACTCAGGGTTCGGGGACCCTAAACCCTAGACCCTTTCCCCGGTAACCCGGGAGGAACAAGGGGGCACTCTTCTCGGTTTAAGCAAGGTTTACAAGGGAGCCTGAGCCTGAAACCGGGGTCCCGGGCCAGCCTAAAATCACACGCCTGCTATCCCCACCACACTCCTCCTCGTCTAAACCAGAAGGTTTAGGGTGTAATTTGGGCTTGTCTTTTTTGTTGCTTCTTCCTGTTCTTCTTTCTCCTTGTTTTCGTTATACATACATACATACATACATACATACATACATGCATACATACATACATACATACATACATACATACATCCATACATACATACATACATACATATACAGAACGACTTATTTATTTACTTATATATTTAACTTTATGTATCTATTTACTCATTACATATTTACAGATTTTTGGTTTCTTCTTTGGGGGTGGGGGGGGGGGGGGGGGGGGCTTCGGCTTTGGGTGACCCCGCGCCTCCACGAGGTTCCCAGTCTCAGCGAGCTCCTCGCCAGGCAGCTTGGGCCATTGGGGTCCGGGCCACCGAGCGCCCTAAACCCTAAACCCTAAACCCTAAACCCTTAACCCTAAAACCTAACCCTAAACCCTAAACCCTATACCCTAAACCCTAAACCCTAAACCCTAAACCCCAAACCCTAACCCTAAACCCTGAACCCTGAGACCTAAACCCTAAACCCTAAAACCCTAGAATCCAAAAACACAACCTAAAAGCCATAAGCCCTAAGGCCCTTGTGAAGGGCTCTGGGCATGTGGGTCAAAGGTTGAAGATGCGCTTAGGGGTCTATATTTAAGGTTTAGGGTTTAGGGTTTAGGGTTCAGGGTCTAAGGCTTAGAATATGCTAGGGTTCAGGCTTCCTATCCCCTTTGAAGCCCGAAACCTTAACCCCCTTTCTTTCCCGTTGCACCACTCATGCAGCCCTAAACCCGAAACCCTAAACCCTAAACCCTAAACCCGAAACCCCCAAAACTCACCCAAGTTGACCCCCTGACACTCGTGCCTCGCGCGTGATGCGCCGCTCGCCGATGACCCGGTGCTCCCCCTGGTGTCTTGGCAGGTCCTGACAAAGGGGTTTAGGGTTTGGGGTTTGGGGTTTAGGGTTTAGGGTTTAGGGTTTAGGGTTTAGGGTTTAGGGTTTAGGGGAGGGGTTTAAGGGGATTTTTGACGGGCGTTTTAGGCGTTGACTCCCCTCATACGTTCTTTGCGGGGGATATAAGGTACCTACATCCCTACGTCGGGAACTTTTGGGTTTTTGGGGGGCCGCAGCAGACTTCTGAGGTTTAGGGTTTTTTGGGGGCTCTCTTGACTTAGTATGTCGACTTAGTTTCTCCTAGAAACCCGACTATTTTCCTCACAACCCACTTCCCAACCCTACTTACTAAGTCAAAAGAGCTTCCAAGTAAGGTTTAGGAATTAAATGGAATTGGGGTTTAGGAATTAGGGTTGAGGATTGAGGGTTGAGGGTTGAGGGTTGAGGGTTGAGGGTTGAGGGTTGAGGGTTGAGGGTTGAGGGTTGAGGGTTGAGCCTTTGTGTTTCAAGCTAGGCATCCGAAACCGGAACATGATGACGATTGAGCCCATAGAACTTGCTGAAGCCCCTAAACCGTTCATGTAGTCCCCGATTCCCTAAATCCCCCCCAAAAAAAACCCTAACACCCCTAAAGCCCCCAAAACCTTCAACACCCTAAAAGCCTAAACCCTACAAACCCCCAAACACCCTAAAAGCCTAAACCCTACAACCCCCAAACCCTAAGCCCGAAAAGGATAAATCTGAAGCCCAAAAAGCCCCTACCCTAAACCCCACAACCCCCACAACCCCCAAAGCCCCTAAAGCCCCAAAACCCGCCTGCATTCTGGGCGTGTAGCCGCTGGCTGTGGAGTACACGGCCTTGGCTCCATTTCTAAGGTTTTTTTCACTTTGGACCCTTAAGGTCATACCCTTGAGGTTGTTGTAGACCCTTCTGAAAGATCCTTGAGGTAGGTTTAGGGTTTAGGGTTTAGGGTTTAGGGTTTAGGGTTTAGGGTTTAGGGTTTCGGGTTTAGGTTTAGGGTTTAGGGTTTAGGGTTTAGGGTTTAGGGTTCAGGGTTCAGGGTTCAGGGTCTAGGGTTTAGGGTTAGGGGTTTAGAGGTTTAGGGTTTAGGGTTTAGGGTTTTGGGTTTAGGGTTTAGGGTTTAGGGTTTAGGGTTTAGGGTTTAGGGTTTAGGGTTTAGGGTTTAGGGTTTAGGGTTTAGATTTAAAATTTAGATTTTAGGGTTTAGGGTTTAGGGGTTTAGGGTTTAGGGGTTAGGGTTTAGGGTTTAGGGTTTAGGGTTTAGGGTTTAGGGTGAGGAGTATGTTAGGTCTTAGGGGTACAAACTTTGGGGGGTACGAGTCTTCGTCCCTTCGACCCCAGGCCATTGGTGGAACCCCAACCGCGGTTTGGGGGCCTCCTCACCCTTCACCCTAAATCCTAAACCCCAAACCCTAAACCCTAAACCCTAAACCAAGTGTTTCAGGGGACTTTCTAAGGGCGTTAGGGCAATAGGGGTGGGGTTTCTAAGGGCTTTAGGACTTCTAAGGGTCTTCAGGGTTTTAGGGGCTTTAGGGTTTTCGCTTTGCAGCCTTAGGGTTTTTGTTAAGGGCTTTGGGTTTTTGGTGTTTTTGTTGCGGGGTTTAGGGGCTCGTAGGGCTTTAGGGCTTTATGGGTTTTAAGGCTTGGGTTTGGGGGTTTCAGGGCCTTCCCCCCAATCCATTCTTGATGGCTTGGGGTTTAGGATTCCGACACTCTTGAGGAGCCACTATGTCCAGCCGAATTCCCTGCGTCCCTACAGCGCCAGCCTACTTACGTGCCACACTCTTTATGGGCTTCGGGCTTAGGGCTTGAGGTTCAGGAGGCGCCCGCAAACGACCCACAGGGGGTCTAAGCAATCACCAACATCATTTGTTCTAAGCACCCCTCTATCACAGGGGCTGGAACAAGATACCGGTTGTGAGCCGAGGGACGAGGCCGCGATGCTCAAAAGCCCGAAACCCTAGCCCTAAACCCCAAACCCCACACCCCAAACTCTAGACCCTAAACCCTCAAACCCTCAAACCCTGAACCCCTAGCCATAAACCCCTAACCCCCTAACCCGAAACCCCCAACCCCCTAACCCGAAACCCCTAAGCCCCTAAACCCCTCAACCCTCAAACCGCCAAGCGGCGGAGCGCATGGGACTCCCGCCGTCGCGGCCGGCGGCGGACCGGAGCCCGTTGATGACGGTACCGGCCTTCAGGGTTTAGGGTTTAGGGTTTAGGGTTTAGGGTTTAGGGTTAAATGGGGGCTTTTGGGCTTTGGGGTTTAGGGTTTAGGGTTTAGGGGTTTAGGGTTTAGGGTTTAGGGTTTAGGGTTTAGGGTTTAGGGTTTAGGGTTTAGGATTTAGGGTTTAGGGTTTAGGGTTTAGGGTTTAGGGTTTAGGGTTCAGGGTTCAGGGTTTAGGGTTTAGGGTTTAGGGTTTGGAGGCTAAGGATTTTGGAGTTTTAGAGGTTTCGAGGTTTGGGGCTGAGGGGTTGGGGCAGTTCAAGGTTGCTAGGCTGAGGGGTCGAGGATATACAGAAGCCCCACATCCCTCCAAACCCTGAACCCTAAACCCTAAACCTCAAACCCTAGACCCCAAACCCTAAACCCCAAACCCTAAACCCCCAAACCCCAAACCCTACACCCTAAACCCCAAACCCTAAACCCTGAACCCCAAACCCTAAACCCTACACCCCCTGATGCCCAAATATTCTCGCGCCTGCAGCCCTGGGTTCATGCCGCCGGAGGCATAGACCGGAACCGCCTCGAAAGGATTTTTTGGGCGTTTAGGACCTGAGGTTTAGGGTTTAGGGTTTAGGGTTTGGGGTTTAGGGTGTAGGGTTTAGGGTTTAGGGTTTAGGGTTTAGGGTTTAGGGTTTAGGGTTTAGGATTTAGGATTTAGGGTTTAGGGTTTAGGATCCCTGAACCCTAAACCCTAAGCTAAAGCCTAAAAACAAAGACAGAGAGGGAGAGAGAGAGAGAGAGAGAGAGAGAAACAGAGACAGATTTTGCGTTTAGGCCCTGGGGAAGTTTAGAGTTTAGAGCTTGGGGAAGTGTCGGGTTTAGGGGCATGGTCTCCGGAGGGGGGCTGTGCCGGACGACCCTGTAGTTCCCAAATCAGGGGTACCCAATCAGAGAACCCCAAAAGGGTGTATCCCTATTTCGGAAGCCCCCTTTATGAACACCCTGAACCTATCCAGGTTTGGCACGTTGCTTCGGGCTTGGGTTTACTCTGAGAAGGTCACGTGAGCAGGTTTCAACATGGTGATCGCTTTTGGGGCACCAGGGGGCCCCCCAATCCTATAATCAAAGCTCGAAAGCCTCAAGCCTCATTCAACCCACCCTCACACCTGAGAACCCTAAACCCTAAACCCTACACTTTCACGTCGAGGGGCCGAGCGCCCGGGCGACACGCCCCGAGCGGGGCTCACCGCCGCTCTTGCCGGAGACACACCACGGGCCCCGCCAGCGCCTGCCTTTCGCGAGGGCTTCTTAGGGCGAAAGAAGGTTTAGGCCCTCAAGGTGTGGGGTTGGGGTCTCTACCTTTTGTGCAACTCGGGGCTTGGGGCTTTGTTCGGGGAGCCCTCCCCAATGCGGCCCACCTGCATGGCCATGGGCTGGCCTGCCAGACCCATGGGCTGCATCATGGTCGGTCCCATGGGCGGCCCCATCATGGGTTGTGCCATCATGGGTTGTCCCATCATGGGTGGCCCCATCATGGGGGGCCCCATCGCGCCCATCGCAGGAGGCCCCATCGTCATGGCAGGCCCCATAGCAGGGCGCATGGCAGGCCCCATGGCAGGCCCCATAGCAGACGACATGGCAGGCCCCATGGCCACGGACCCCACTGACCCCACTGGCTGCCCGGCTGGCACAGCCATCATGGGCTGTCCCATAGGTCCCAGGGGCTGCGCCTTAGCTGTTGTGCACCAAAAGCTTGCTGCAGCTAGCTTGTCCAATGTACTGAATGGTTGAATCTTTCTTTCATACAGCCCTTCAGCGAGTTCACCCTCCTCGAACCCCACAGCCCACGTCCTGGGCACCAGGACCGACCAAGTGTTGAGGTTCTTACCCTAAACCCTAAACCCTAAACCCTAAACCCTAAACCCTAAACCCTGAACCCTAAACCCTAAACCCTACACCCTAAACCCTAAACCCTAAACCCTACGCCCGAAAATCCCAACCACGAACCAGCAAGGTTGGGGCCAATCCCGAAGCCACGGTAGAGGCCAGGGCACCCCCATGGGCATGCCGACACCCATGGCCGGCGGCCGAATCGGAGCGCCCCCCTCCGCAGAGTTGGGAGAGGCTTGAAACTTAGATTAGGGCTTCTAGGGTTCTGGGGCTTATAGGATTTAGGGTTTAGGGTTTAGGGTTTGGGGTTTAGGGTTTAGGGTTTAGAGTTTAGGGTTTAGGGTTTAGGGTTTAGGGCTTTTGGCTCCAGAGTTCGAAGACGCTTCTGCGATGGTCTGAAACAGGTCCTATGGTTTCCCCTCCACGTGTATGTGTGTTGAGGGGGGGGGTCCTAAACACCCTAAACCCTGAAGCCCTATACCTTAACCCTAAACCCTACACCCCATCCATCCCTAACCCTAAAACCCTCAACCCTACCATGAACTGACTGTGCGCTTGTGGGCCCGGATACCGTCTAAGATGTTGCGGTTCTCATTTGGAAATGGCCATCGCGACCTGTCTCGGGGGTACAGGGGTTTTGGGGCTTTGGCGGGTTTGGGACTTGGGGCGTGGGGATTTGGGGCTGAGGGTCCCTGAAACCCTAAATGCTACCCGGACCCATAATGTCCTTTCTTTCTGGGGCTCTGTCCTACCACTTCTGTACCGGCACGAACCAAACAAGTAGGACACGCAAGGTCCAGGCAAAACTCAATACCCTAAACTCTGAACCCTCGACCCCAAACCCTAAACCCTAAACCCTAAACCCTAAACCCTAAACCCAAACCCCAAACTCTGAACCAACACCCTCTGCCGTCCTGCATGTAGACGGGCGGTGCGACGGGTGGCGCGAGGGGCACAGCCTGCATTCCCGGAGCACAAGTGCCCCCCTGAGTTCTGGGAATCCCAACCCCTACACCCCGCCCTCACCCCCCGGTCTAGGGTTTAGGGTTTAGGGTTTAGGGTTTAGGGTTTAGGGTTTAGGGTTTAGGGATTCAAGGGCTTCGGGCTTAGGACTCAGGCTAGATGTTGGCCAAATCCATCACTTTCAGTTAAAAGGCTCTTACTGTACAAGTTATGAACGGAATGCGAATATGTTTTTTCTTGTGAACAAATGTAAAAAGAATTGATATCATAAATATTAATGTTACTACATTATCTGATGTGAACTACAAACAAAGCTAGACCCAAGAGAAACCCAGGAATGACAAGGCTACCCTTTTTTGTCTAAAGGGGCTAATTATCAGGGAGCCTCAACTCCAAAAAGGGGCGTATTAAGGGCATGCTCTGGGTCCCAGAAAGAAGAACATCTCTCTTGCTCACAGTGCTTCAGGGTTAACATCTCTCTTGCTCACAGTGCTTCAGGGTTAGCTGTCGGTCCAAGATTTAGGGTTTGGGGTTTAGGGTTTCGGGTTTGAGGTCTAGGGTTTCGGGCGTGCGGCCGCAAATACCCCCCCCCCCCCCCAAAAAAAAAAAAAAAAAATATATATATATATATATATATATATAATCATAGTATCCCGAGTACCCTGAACCTTCCTGAACCCTTGATTTGGGAATCTTGCTGTTCGTTCGTATCCTTTACATCACCCCTAGAAACCTTGCAGCTTAAACCCCGAAAGCTTAAAATCCTGAAGCTCAAAACCCTAAACACCTAAACTCCTAACCCCCAAACCTTAAAACCCGAAACCCTAAACCCTGAACCCTACCCTACAGCCCTAAAACCCTGAACCGCTAAAGCCCTAAAACCCTAAAACCCTAAAACCCTAATACCCTAAAACCCTAAATACTCTAAACCCTAAATGCTCTAAACCCTAAAAACTCTAAACCCTAAAAAACCTAAACCCTAAAACCCGAAAACCCAAAAACCCAAAACCCTAAGCCCCAAAAGCCCTAAGCCCTAAAACCCTAAAACCCTAAAACCCTAAAACCCTAAAACCCTAAAACCCTAAAACCCTAAAACCCTAAAACCCTAAAACCCTAAAACCCTAAGCAAAACCTAAAACCCTAAATAAACCCTAAAACCCTAAAACCCTGCCTGCATCGGGACGGGGGGACGCACGACGACGAAATCTTTCATGCCCGGGACACTGGACCTCGAGGAGGTTTCAGGGAGTTTTGGGTTTAGTGTTTACGGTTTGGGGTTTAGGGTTTAGGGTTTAGGGTTTAAGGCTCAGGGCTTAGGGCTTATAGAGTTGAGGGTTTAGGTCCGGGGGTTTGGGGTGTAGGGATTAAGTCCGTTGAAGGGCTCAGGGTTCGGCGTTCCTCCTACATTCTCAGCCGCCCTGTTTCACATCCGAGCTACGGATAGGTCATGACGCCAGGCTGCGACATTGCGGTGACTTGGGGCGTCCTGAGCGGAGCGCTGCAGGCCAGGTGCTTGCAGTATAAACCCCAAGGCCGTGAACAATGAAACCCTCAAACCTGTATGCGAGGTTCCTTCAAAGAATCCCGAAACCCTTAACCCGAAAATGGAACCCTGTACGCAAAACAACACAAAACCCTAAACCCTAAACCCCTTTCGGGATTACCATTCCATATGGGGGGGTTTCCGAAATTAGGGGGTGCCTTATCGTGGTCTTGTTGTAAGGGAATCCTACATTTGCGGGGTCCTTGTGTTCGTAAACCCGCGTCCAGATCTGTATTTCGCGAAGCCGGCAACCGCAAATCCGACCCCCGGGTCTTCTTACGAGGCTGTTGGGGAGGTTCTACCTTGAACCTTGAAAGCGTCGCTAAACCCTAAACCCTGAACCCTAAACCCTGAGCCCTAAACCCTAAACCCTAAACCCTAAACCCTAAACCCTAAACCCTAAACCCTAAACCCTAGATTGGGGTTTCGGGTTCAGGGTTCCGTTCGGGACCCAGGGGTGGCTTCGAGGGGAAATCTTAAGACTGGGGCACGCCTTCGCACCTAAACCCGAAATCCTGAAGCCCTAAACCCTAAACCCTAAACCCTAAACCCTAAACCCTGAACCCCGAACCCTGGCAGGTGCCTCCGGGTTTAGGGCTCAGGGTTGAGGATGTTTTTCGGTTCAGGGTGCGTTTCGGGTTAGGGCTCAAGGTTCAAGGTTCAGGGCATAAGGTCTAGGGTTTAGGGTTCAGGGCTTGGGCTCCCCCTACACCTCTGAATCCCTCCCTACCCCTGCCGCCCGCGCGGCGGCATCATCGTCGGGCCACCCTGCGCACCGACAACCTCCGCGCAAGGCGCGGGGTGTCGGGTTTCGGGTTTAGGGTTGAGGGTTTAGGGTTGAGGGTTGAGGGTTTAGGGTTTAGGGTTCAGGGTTCAGGGTTCAGGTTTCAGGGTTCAGGGTTCAGGGTTGAGGGTTTAGGGTTTAGGGTTTAGGGTGCACCACGTCCTGCCGCATGACGGCCTCCAGCAAGCTCGTGACCTGCGACGGCACCGCAGCCACCTTTGAACAGCAGGACGCCTCCACCCGGGACTCTGACTGTGGCGTCGGCCTTGATCTGAGCCGCCTGCTCATTGACAAGAGCTTGTCTGACCGACTTGGCGTACCGGTCCATCTCACGTTGCATAGTGCGTATCTGTTCCCGTGGAACGAGGTGTGAGGCTTGGGCAATGACCATATAATGTCCATTATATGGCGATACTATGGGATCATGTTGGCAATGGCTTAGGCTTCTGCATTAGCCTCAAGCCCCCAAAACCAAAACCCGAAACTTAAGACATTAAACCCGCAGGCTTCAACTTTAGTAGCTGCCCGCCGCTTTTCGAGTCCTACGAGTACCCGAAACCCTAAACCCTAAACCCTAAACCCGAAACCCTAAACCCGAAACCCTAAACCGAAACCCTAAACCCTAAACCCTAAGCCACTCCCGCAAGCTGCTTGAAAAGCGGTTGGCAGACGGGACGTTTCACCTTGACCAGTGGACGTCCACAGACGGGCCTACTGTGCAGCTGACGCTGTAAAGCGGCGAGGGCTCAAAAAAAATTGAAAAGTCTAGGCTGCCCAGTAACCTAGGCTTCAAAAGGGTACCCTTTTTTGCTTAAAGGGGTTTATAAGGGAACCTAAACCCCCCAAAAAGGGATAAGGGTACTACTGGGCATCCTAGAAGTGGTTTGCAGGGGGGCCGCCGTCTATGGCGCCTTGGGCTTGGGATTCAGGTCTTGAGGTGGTCATTTGTAAACTCCTAAACCCTAAACCCTGGACCCCTAAACTCAAAACCCAAAACCCTATAAACCCTGAACCCTAAACCCTGAACCCGAAACGCGAAGCCCCAAACCCCCAAGCCCTAAAACCCCAAGCCCAAAGCCCTAAACCCTCTACCCTAAACCCTAAGCCCTAAACCCAAAACCCTAAGCCCTAAGCCCTAAACCCTACCCGCTTGGCGCCAAGGGGCGGCGAAGGCACCCGCAGAGCCCGACGAAGCCATCTTCCCAGCGCCCGCCTCGCCATTCAGGGTTTAGGGTTTAGGGTTTAGGGTTTAGGGTTTAGGGTTTAGGGTTTAGGGTTTAGGGTTTAGTGTTTCCTTCTTCAGCTCGGGCTGTGAGAAAGAAGCTTGGGGCTGGTGCGTCAGCACTGAGATTCTGGATCCAGGGTTCAGGTTTGGGGTTGAGGGTTTAGGGCTAGGGTTTAGGGCTAGGGTTTAGGGTTTCGAGTTTGGGGTTGGGGTGTAGGGTTTAGAGGCCCGTGGTGAAGTTTGCGTGGACCAGTCGCGCCTCCGAGGCTGCGGGTTTCCGGCTTGAGAGCACTGGGAGAAAACTTGTATGCCCTCCCTGCGTTGGCTCAAATCATTCCTCCTTTTAGGACTTGCCCCTATCATGCGCTAAAAACCCTAGACCCAAAAACCCCAAACCCCAAACCCCAAACCCCAAACCCCAAACCCTAAACCCTAAACCCTAAACCCCAAACCCCAAACCCCAAACCCTAAACCCCAAACCGCATCACATGTCGATGGGGCCTTCGGGCAACCTTCGGAGCCTTGGGTGCTTCCCAGGGTTCAGGCTTTAGGGCTTTGGGGTTTAGGGTTTAGGGTTTTGGGGTTTCGGAAGCTTAGGGTTGAGAATTTCAGGGCACTGGGGGGTTTCGGGGTTTAAGGGTGTTTTGGTTCAGGCTGCTTTCCGAAAGCTGGGGCTTGGCTTAGGGCTTAGGGTTTCGGGTTTCGGGTTTAGGGCTTAGGGGTCCCCACCTCGTCTCGCTTGCGGCCGCACTTCCGGCAGAACGCTGCGTCGTCCAAGTACACATTCCCACAAGCCGGGCAGTTGGCACTTGATGCCTCAGGGATCATGTCATGTAGGGCCTAGCTTGATTGGAATGTGTAGGGTACTTATACACTGATTTATACACACACACACACACACAGATACATATGTCCCTAAACCCTAAACCCTAAACCCTAAACCTAAACCCCAAACCCTAAACCCTAAACCCTAATATATGTGTATATGTATGGGTTATTAACGGACGTTTCAACGGTTGAAAGCCATGCACCTATCACACAGAGACCATCACCCGGCTCTGCCAAACATTGTGAACCCTCAACAAACAAAAGTCCCAAGTCCCTAAACCCTAAACCCTAAACCCTAAACCCTAAACCCTAAACCCTAAACCCTAAACCCTAAACCCTAAACCCTAAACCCTAAACCCTAAACCCTAAACCCTAAACCCTAAACACCATACCCTAAACCCTAAACCCTAAACCCTAAACCCTAAACCCTAAACCCTAAACCCTAAACCCTAAACTCCTAAACCCTAAACCCGAAACAAGCGGCCTGCGTGGCCTGCGGGGCCATGGCTCTCTGCCACTCCTCGCGGGTAACCACACCATCTCGATTCGCGTCGAGGCGGTCGAAGATATCCTTGGGTGGCTGTGGTTTCGGGTGCCTTCTTCTGTTGCCCAGCATCCCTTACGCAGGGTTTAGGGTTTAGGGTTTCGGGTTTAGGGTTTAGGGTTTAGGGTTTAGGGTTTAGGGTTTAGAGTTTCGGGTTTCGGGTTTCGGGTTTCGGGTTTAGGGTGGCCGGGGCCACAACCGAGGACAAAAACCTCAGCCAAGAAACAGCCGCTGCCATGACGTGCGGAGGACACGGGCTCCCTGTGTTAAAAATCGAGCTCCCAGGCCCTGCGCCCTAAACCCTGAGACCTCTCAACGTTGGGGGCTGGATGAGAAGTCTTGTCAACCCCCAAGAACCCACACAAGCCCACAAACGTGGAAGGGTGGGGGTCCTACTGGAGCCTAATGAAGCCCCCAAGGTCTGTTATAGATGAGGCTTCGCAGCAGCGGTTGAAAGCAGGGCCTTCGGGGTGGTTATTCGGCTTGGGGTCTTTGGGGTTCATCATTCAGGGCTTTTGTGGTCTTGGGTTTCAGGGCTTCGGGCTCAGAATTCTGAGCCCCATGGCCAGACTCAAGCTGAAGGAGCTTTTGGGGTTTTTTGGGTTTGGGATTTAGGGATTTAGGGTTTCGAGTCGAGGGTTGAGGGTTTTGGGGGGAGCCTGGGGCCTTTTCAGGGCTTCAGGTTGGCTTTGTGGGCAGGGCGCTTCTTTCGTCGCGGGGCGCTGCCTCCATCTGCCTGGTGCACTGGTCTTCAAGATCTAGGCTCCAGGCTTGTACAGACCGCAGCCTTCCTCACTGCTTCGTGAGTGCACAAAAGATACAAAAGGCCGTGAAGAGCTTTGGACAGTCTATGGGCACAGCTCCTGAAGCAGGTCCACTGTCTTGGCAGACATGGACTCAGACGCCCTCTGCATTTTAGGTACTGTGCAGACCTGCTTCACAGGACGGCCGGCAAAACGATAACCCTACACCCCGAAACTGTAAGGAACTGCACCAGGCATGGCCAGGCACTGAACCCCTCTAAACCCTGAGGCTCTGCAACACAACTGACGCACCTAAACTCAAGAGCCCTAAGGCCCTACAAAAGCTACTTTCAAAGCCTCAGCTGACCCGCACGTCGAGCCCTCCGTTCTTCCACTCGTTGTTGCACACGATCGGTCGGCCGGTGTTCTGCGGACTGCTGAGATCGTAGACCTGTAGATGGGGCTTTACGACAATAAGGGACCCTAATATAGACCCCCAAAGAGTAGGATCCCCTTTAGAAAGGGACCCCCAAGAAGGTACCCCCAAGATCGGAAACCCGCAGATGAAGTTGACCTAGGTAGGCTCTGGTGTGCCGCTGCGTCATCCGACTCGTCTCCCTGCAAAGTAGATGCTATAGATACACCCAGCCTGTCCTCGACAGCTTGTTGAGGGCTCTTTAGGGTTTAGGGTTTAAGGTTTAGGGTTTAGGGTGTAGCACGGGTCAGCTGGACGCAATAGTATGCAGACATGCCCACCCCAAGGCCACCCAATCACAACTCACTGCGAACCCAAGCCGGAGCCAGCCAAAACCAGCCAGCCATTCAACATTTTTCTGCGTCGGATTAGCTACATGGCGAAAGTGTGGTTATGAAATGATGCCTTATGAAAAACATGCCCAGAAGCTTGTGTTCAGGACATGTAAAGAAATTGCAGCCAAAAAAAATTAGGTTTTGCGTTGGGGGAGTCTTCGGCCGGAGGGCCTTCTCATTGTTTTCTTTTTTCTCTATGTCGGATTGTCGAGCGGGTTTTTTCGAAGCTTTGCGCAACATAGTCAGAAGTTTCCGAGTTAAAGGCTCAGAAATGGTCTGGGAGAAGCCCAAAGAAACTCAGAAATGGTCTGGGGGCAGCCGCCCAGAATCCCAGAAATCCCAAAAAAGTTGGTCTGGGAGGCCCAAATAAGCTCAGAAATTGGGGGGGGCAGCCCGAAGCTCAGAAATGGTCGGGTGAAGCCCAGAAAAATTCTGAAATGGTCTGGGACAAGCCCAGAAGCCCAAAAATGCTCCAAGAAACTGTCCGGAGGAGCTCTAAAAGGTGCAGAAAAGGCTCAGAAACTGTCCTGGAGGAGCTCAAAAAAAAGGTGCAGAAACTGTCCGGGAGGAACCCCAAAAGGCTCAGAAACTGCGCGGGAGAAGCCCAAAAAGGCTCAGAAACTGTCCGGGAAGAACCCCAGAAGGCTCAGAAACTGTGCGGGAGAAGCCCAAAAAGGCTCAGAAACTGTCCGGAAGGAGCCTAAAAAGGCTCAGAAATTGTCCGGGAAAAGCCCAAAAAGGCTCAGAAACTGTCCGGGAGGAGCCCAAAAAGGCTCAGAAACGGTCCGGGAGGAGCTCAGAAACTGTCGGGGGGAGCCCAAAAAGACCAAAAAGGCCGGGAGGAGCCCAAAAAGGCTCCAAGAAACTGTCCGGCAGAACCCAAAAAGGCTCAGAAACTGTCCGGGAGGAGCCCAAAAAGGCTCAGAAACTGTCCGGGAGGAGCCCAAAAAGGTTCCAAAAAGGCAACTGTCCGGGAGGCCAAAAAGGCTCAGGAACTGTCCGGGAGGAGCCCAAAAAGGCTCAGAAACTGTCCGGGAGAAGCCCAAAAAGGCTCAGAAACTGTCCAAAAGGACAGAAACTGTCCGCCCAAGAAGGCTCAGAAACTGTCCGGGAGGAGCCCAAAAAGGCTCAGGAACTGTCCGGGAGGAGCCCAAAAAGGCTCAGAAACTGTCCGGGACAAGCCCAAAAAGGCTCAGAAAAAGGCTCTGAAACTGTCCGGGAGGAGCCCAAAAAGGCTCAGAAACTGTCCGGGAGGAGCCCAAAAAGGCTCTGAAACTGTCGAGCCCAAAAGGCTCAGAAATTGTCCGGGAGGAGCCCAAAAAGGCTCAGAAATGGTCCGGGAGGGAGGCTGGGCCAAAAGGGAAAGGACACCCCCCCGCCTCGCGAGAGCAAAAGTGTGGGTTTAGGGCTATAAAATATAACTGTGACAATGCTAGGCGACTCTAGCCAGGCGACCCTCTCAGGGGTGTGCCTGCCAGGCTCTGCAGCCCAGCAGAGCCTGCCGTGGTCTCGCTGAGCGCTCGACTGCGCCCGCCTACCCCAACAGAGGTGAGAGGGGTGGCGGGCGGGTTTAGGGTTTAGGCTTTAGGGTTTAGGGTTTAGGGTTTAGGGTTCAGGGTTTAGGGTTTAGGGTTTAGGGCTTAGGGTTTAGGGCTCATCCGGGCTGAAGATTGAGTCTGGTGCTTTTAAAAACACGGACGAGAGCCATGTGGAACCGCCACCCTGAGCCCTGAACCCGAACCTCCCCCCCCCCCCACCCGCCCCTACCTTATATCACACCTTTTGTATTACAAATTGATTAATTAATTATTAATTAAGTATTTTTTTTGAATTATTACTTATTTATTAATTGATTATAAAATTACAATTCTGAACTCTATCTATTCCATACATAATGTAACCACTGTAGGACGGTGACCACGAGAAACCAGCGACTCCAGGCCCCCAAAACCCTAAGCCCCGGGCAGGGTTCAGGGTTCAGGGTTTCGGGTTTAGGGTTTAGGGTTTAGGGTTCAGGGTTCAGGGTTTAGGGTACTGGAGGCCCTTGAAAGATAGGCCTCCACACAAGCCAGGCATTACTAAAAAGAAGATCATCAGAAAGCCATGCAATGTACTGCTTATATAGAAGTTCTGGCTTTCTGGAGATAATATCCTATTTCCTGATGAATATAATTCTATTCGTATAAGGACTGATATTATTGTTCCGGAGATTCCAAAGATGAATCCAGATTATTAAAAACATCCTAAGCCTTTATGAGTACAATTTTTTAACTAGTGATAGAAAAGATACGAACGGGCCAGTAATATTCTATTTTCGTGTTTCGTTCACTCACTTATTGCATTTTGCGCACTACATTTCTGTCGTTTGCAAATACCAATCGTTTCGTTCTCTTCACTTTTTCTATTTTTATTACCGCATATTAAATATACTGTTCTTGCCCGCGAATGCAGAATTTAATGAGCGCTGCGTTAATATTATTTCGCACAATCATTCACGCGGTCCTTGTACTGAAACCCTAAACCCTATAACAAAAACCCTAAACGCTAAACGCTAAAACCTAAACCCTAAACTAAGCCCCGAAGCCTTGCCTGTCGTCCGTTCGCAAACTGACGCCGAAGGTTGTAGAACTTGCAGCCCTCAAAGTTGAACCTGGAATCTGGGATGAGTTTAGGGTTCAGGGTTCAGGGTTCAGGGTTCAGGGTTCAGGGTTAGGGTTTAGGGTTTAGGGTTTAGGGTTTAGGGTTTAGGGTTTTAGGGTTTTAGGGTTTTAGGGTTTTAGGGTTTTAGGGTTGAGGGTTTAGGGTTGAGGGTTGAGGGTTGAGGGTTTAGGATTTAAGGTTTTAGGGTTTTAGGGTTTTAGGGTTTTAGGGTTTTAGGTGTTTAGGGTTTTAGGGATTTAGGGATTTAGGGTTTTAGGGCTTTAGGGTTTGGGGTTTAGGGTTTAGGGTTTAGTTTAGGGTTCAGGGCCATTTAGGGTTTAGGGTTTAGGGCTTTGGTTCCAACAAACTGACCCTAAACCCTCAACCCGAAACCCCCAAAACCCCCAAAACCACCCTGAACCCCCCTAAACCGCCCCCTAAACCCTAAACCCTAAACCCTAAACTCCCCCCTAATCTGCGCAGCCCAGGGAGCACGGACCCACGGTAGTTCGCATCGAAGCTCTGCTTGATGATCCCCAGGCATCCGTTGCAGGTCTCGCCCCCGTTCTTGCCGTCGTAGCAGTCGTGGCGGTTCTGCTCCGGCGCATAGCCTTCTACTATGCTCCCCTGGGAACCTTAACATAAAAAAGAGAGTATTTTCATATTCTCTCGGGGTTTATATGAATAAGAATATGAAGTAATTCCGTAGGGGGCTGTAGAGTAGGACTCTCCTCTGTCAGTGGGCGGTTGGGGATGATAAGGCTTAGGGAACAACCCCTAAGCCCTAAACCCTAAATCTCAACCCAACAAAAAACGCACCTCCACCACCACCACCACCACCACCACGACCACCCTAAACCCCAAACCTCAACCACCCCCACCCAGCCGAGCCGCAGGTGATGTCCCGGAAGGTGGCCTCCTGTTCAGGGGAGTTCCCTTATGGACCCGCAAAGGGGCTTTGGGGCTTTCGGTACCGTTTAGGGTTTAGGAGGGTTTAGGGTTTAGGGTTTTGGGTTTAGGGTTTAGGGTTTTGGGTTTAAGGTTTAGGGTTTAGGGTTTAGAGTTTAGGGCTGCACCCTTAACCCTACTTAAACCTCTCCCTCCCCCTAAACCCCCCTAAAGCCCCCAACCCCTTAAAACCCCCCTAAAACCCCCCTAAAAACCCCCCTAAAAACCCTCCTAAACCCCCCTACAACCCCCCTACAACCCCCCTAAAACCCCCTGAAACCCCCTAACCCCCCCCCCCCCCCTAAACCCTACGCTAAACCCTAAACCCGAAACCCTTGATCCTTGGCGCCGTACACCGCCACGCAGCTGCCGTAGTGGTTCTGCCGGGCACGGCCCGCATCCTGCGTATCGGGGGGGGCTTCTTTAAGGGTCTAGGGTTTAGGGTTTAGGGTTTAGGGTTTTTAGGGTTTAGGGTTGAGGGTTGAGGGTTGAGGGTTGAGGGTTTTTGGGTTTAGGCTTCAGGGTTTGGGGCCCTAATCCCTGAAAGCCCTCAGCTCCCTGAATCCTAAAGCCGACCGAGCATCCACACCCACGCAGCGCTCAAAGACGATGTTCCGCGTGTCGAAGCGGCTGCCCCAGACGGCGTAGATGTCGTCGCCGGTGTTTTGAATGTAGGTGTCCTGCAGTTTAGGGCTTAGGGCTTAGGGCTTAGGGCTTAGGGTTTAGCGTTTAGGGTTTAGGGGTTTAGGGTTTAGGGTTTAGGGTGTAGGGCTTAGCTTAGGGTCCGGGTGTCGGGTTGGTCTTAGCGCTTTGGATTTTAGGGTTTAGGGTATTGGTGGGTTCAGGGTTTGGGGTTTTGGTGTGCCCAGGGTTTCGGGATGAGTTCTTCATGTCGGAGAGTCAATCTCTTTCTGGCTTAGGGCCGAGGATGCCTGAATATTTTACCCTAAGCCCCAAACCCTAGACCCTAAACCCTAAACCCCAAACCCTAAACCCTAAACCCTAGAAACCAAGCCCTCAACCCTATACAAACATGTCAACCCTCATTCTGGATGAACCCCAAACCCCAAACCCTAACCCCAAACCCTAAAGGAACCGAAAAGAACGACTCAGCCCTACACCCTACACCCTAAAAACAGACTCAGCCCTACACCCTTTTCCCTACACCCTCAACCCTGAACTCCCAAACACTGGCTGGTTCTTAGCTCGGAATGAGGGAATTAGGGGTTTACACAATCCCTGAAAGGGTATATATAGCGGCCTCATTCCCTACGGAGAACCAGGCGGATCCCCTGGTCAAACCCTCAAACCCTACACCCTAAACCCTAAACCCTAAACCAAAACAAAACCGTAGGCCTACACCCTAAACCCTCAACCCTCAACCCTGAACCCTAAACCCGAAACCCGCAACCCTAAACCCTAAACCCTAAACCCTAAACCCTAAACCCTAAACCCTAAACCGAAGAGCTACAAAAGAAGGAGGGGAGGGGTTCAAAAGGCTGTGGCCTCCACCCGGGCATCCTGGACAAAGCCGTGGAAGTTGATTCCGTCGGCGTGGAGGAACCTTGTTCCCCTATTTGCCCTCCTTTAGGCACCCAGGGTTGTAGGATTTAGGGTTTAGGGTTTAGGGTTTCGGGTTTAGGGTTTTTCGGATTTCGGGTTTCGGGCTTTGGGCTTGGGTTTGGGGCTTGAGGGTTCAGGGGTTTAGGGTTTGAGGTTTCGAGGGTTTTGGGAGTTGAGGGTTCAGGGTTACGGCTTTGTGCAAGTGAACCGGTCTTCCCTGCACGCAGTCGGGGCGGCTACTTTCAGGGGGGGGGGGAAGCAAATTTCAAGGGAAAAGGGAAGGATTACTCGGTAAGAGTCCTTATTCGGTGCTTAAGCCCCACCTCGCCACCGTAAATATCAAGCAAGGAGTGTTGGGTTGTGAGCAAACCCGAAAGTCTGCACTCGAAACCTAAAACATAAACCCTGAAATGCAAAGCAAACCCCCCCCCCAAAAAAAAAAAAAAAAAAAAAACTCCAAGCAGCATGGCCACCAGGTTCTTCACCTGAACGTTTCGTGTAGGCACCTGGCAAACGCTCTCTAAAACATGGGAATGGTTTGGTTGGGGGTCTAGCGCTTAGGGTTTAAGGCTGGCTTCTGCACCCTGAACTACAAGCAAATCACACTATACTGGAGCCAAATCTCTAGCACCCCGAAGAACCCCTAAACTCTTGACCCCCCGACACCTGCTCGTTTCGTGTCTGCGCGACCCACACTGCCAGCTGGCTCGCGAGGATTGGATCACCCGAATAATCATTCATCCTGATGTTCTCCTTGGCACGTGTAGGGGTTTAGGGGCTTCAGGTAGTGAGGGTCCAGAGATAATCGTATTACCTCCGCTCAGGGGTTGAGCAGGAAGTTTCTAGGGAAGCAATCTCACAGACTCCCTACAAAGAAGCCCCAGACAAACCCTCGAACCCCTAAACCCAAAGTCCCGAAACCCTGAACCCTAAACCCTGAACCCTGAACCCTAAACCCTAAACCCAAAGTCCCTAAGCCCTGAACCCTAAACTCTCTAAACCCTATACCCAACGCCCCTACGAAGAACCCGCAAAGCCAGAAGGGTTTCCGAGGGTTCGATCCCCAGCCCTGAACAGCAGCCCTAAACCCTAAACCCTAAACCCCAAACCCCAAACCCTAAACCCTAAATCCCAAACCCCAAACCCCAAACCCTAAACCCTAAACCCCAAACCCTAAACCCCAAACCCCAAACCCCAAACCCCA